TGCATACAAACTCTAACAAAACAAATTGTAGGAGATCATTTACATCATTTCTGCATTATGCTTCCCCTGTTACTAAAATATGTAGTAGCAACCATCCACTATAAAGTATATTGCCAAACAATATCACTTCAAGAATGAGCAAATAGAAGATTGGCTAAGAAATGAAATAATTACCAAAAGTTTTTTGAAAGCCAACTCCACAAGTCTATCCATCGCAACTTTATCAAGTTCCCTGCGCAATGACCATAATGTATTCATCTCAAGAAGATTTGAACAAACAATTTTTAAATTTGAAGTTTATCATGAAAAACTTAAAAGACTGATGCAAGAAAGATGTTCAAATATTGAGTATTACCTCAAACCTTTTAGGATATTCCTTTTCTTTATTCTCTTCTTCCATGTATTCCATTAATAATCAATGATTTATTATTAATAGATATCTGTTTCACTTTTCCTGAAAATATTGGAATTACTTGCTACCATTAGTTATGTTGATGTTTGTCTATGAGCTAGTGCTCAAAAGTTTTTATTTAGAGTTCCACATCAATTTTTTGACTTCATTCTTGGATATTTTTTGGGGGGTCTGACAAAGCTTTTGTTTGGTTATCAGATTGTGTGAAGGTGGAGAACTACTCAACAGAATATTGTCAAGGTAATAAGGAACATTGTTTTGATAATTATTTTATTCTTAGTAGGTCTGATTTGAACTTATTATATACTTTTCCTTAGCTACAGAGGTGGTAGATACACAGTAGAGGATGCAAAACTCATTATTGTGCAAATTTTAAGTGTTGCATTTTTCCATCTTCAAGGTGTTGTGCATCATGACTTAAAGCCCGAGGTTATTGTTTCTTGAACTTGACATCTTTGTATTTTGCATTATTAGGACACATAATTTTATTTATTTATTTTTAGCTTTCCAAGTAAAAAAACTTATTTTCTATTGCATTTAGTAAACATTCCCCATTGTCGATATATTTTTATGTAATTAATGCCTTTCTAATTGCTTGCATTACATAATTTCCTTTTCTCCTCTAGAAACGAAGATGCTAATATGAAGCTTATTGATTTTGGCCTTTCTGATTTCATCAGACCAGGTAATAGACATAGTTCATCCTAAGTTTGTTCATTATCTTAATAGATATTTGTAAGAATTCTCAGTTATCACTCCTACACTAATGTAATTTTAACCTCATTACATATGGGTTACATAGACTCGGGTATGAGTTTTGAGTGCAGGTGCTTGTCCAATTGTTTGGCCTCCTTAAACCCTAAGTCTTAGAACATATATACAAAAATTAGGTACAAGCACGGGTACTTGGACACTTCTTAATGATTTTTGTATATTGCATATTGTATAATATAATAATACTAATATAATATGTTGTAAATTATTTAGGTATGTATTTGAAATTAAATGGATTTAGGCGAAAACGGGGGATTTATGTAGTGTCAGTATTTTATTTCCATCCAGTACTGCTTTATAATAAAGTTATTTTGCGTTACATTCACTGGCCTAATCAAGTTCCTAATCAAGTTGAGTTTGATATTTCTCGTGTCACGGTTGCCTTGTTTAGCCAGTTTATGTGATTAAATGAGCTAGCAATTCAATTAACCGGGTGTCTTTTACAATTATCTGGCTTGTCTATGAGTTGTTCCTAAGCCTATCTAGCTTGTTTATGAACTATTCCTAAGCCTAATTCTTAATAAAATGCATGTTTTGTATGTGTGCCTAATTGGACTAGGATTAGGATAGTAACAATTTATCTCAATTATAAAATCAGTAGAATTTAGGTCAAGCTTGGCTCATTTGATCGAGTGAAAAGGCCCAAGCAAGCCTCTTACAAGCTGAGTTCGATCCTTTAACAAACAACTTGGTTTGTTAAATAGCACTAAGGATAGGAGTTTTGAGGTTGCATTTGGGGTTTTGTAGTTTAGAAGGTAATTAATCCATTAAAATGGGTTCATGCCACATGGGGTTTCAGATCAACTTACCTTCTTTTTTTTTATGCAAACTTCCATGTTATTTGCTAGAAGTGTTCCCATGGACTTGTGTCACTGGGTAGATATTTGTTATAGATATGCAATGGTTATGTTTTCATTAGACCGAACATTGAAAAACAAAAGTTGTGATATATGATGCTATAAAGAATAGTTAATATCAGCAGAGTTTAACATTGAATTCATAAGATGTTTCTTTTTTTATGACTGTTTATGTAGATGAAAGACTAAATGATATTGTTGGAAGTGCATATTATGTGGCACTAGAAGTCCTCTACAGATCTTACAGCCTAAGGAGCATATTGTAAAATATATTAAGAACAGAGCATGTTAATGCTACAAGCGAGACAGATAGATATATAAGGAGAAAAATGTTCAACCAAGGTTGCAACAATTTTGCTTAGACTAATGAACTTTGCTTGAAAAATACTGTAAAATATAGTTGAGAAAAGGGAGATATTCTTTGATGAAAGTGTTACACGCTAACTTGTTGGTGAATTCCCTTCTTCAACTGAATAATTTCTTGATTAATAGTGTCATCCTCTCTGAGATATAACAAACCAAAGATAATGTGAATGCTTTCTGATATTTATTTCTTGATTCATTTCTCTCAAATTAGTAACAGATGAGGACGGATTGATTCAAACCAAAGCTTGTTTCCAGAATCAGATTATATACCTGGTGCAAAAATCAATTGATTGACTAAAAAGTGATCGAATTACAGTGAGTTTAGATTAAGAAGTTGAATACAAATTACAGTGAGTTCAAGTGATCGAAGTAGAGAGATGAATAAGTTGAAATACGAATGAATGATTCAAAGAGACTCACTGAGATGAGAGAGGGAGAGAGAGAGAGAGAGAGACATACCGTTGGAGATCTCTTCTTTAGATGACCATGGTGATCTATAGAGTGAAATCGAGAAAGGGCTCTTGATCTAATAATGAACCTGGTTACTCAGACACGATTGAGCGAAATCAGATTTGGGGAAAATGAGAGTCTAGGGCAAGTTATACACAATCAAATTTGGGGGAAATGAGAGTTTAAGAAAAAAGGAAAATATAAATTGGGCTGAGTGGGTTCCCAATAATGGGCTTGCAAGTTTTTGCTTAGGCTGAGTGGGTTCACAAGTTTTTGCTTTGGCTGATTTGCCGTTGCAAATAATATTTTTTGTGACGGTCAAATAATCAGTCGCAAAAAAATAGACGCAAAAAATTATTTTTCTAGTAATGCGTTAGATTTCCAGGGTGCTTATACCAGAAGTATTAGGCTGAGGTTGGCCTCCAAGTGTGCAAGGTGGTGCGTAGTTTCTTCATTGGTGGCTACATTCTCAAATAACTATATCACATAAATCTAATGCTAATTCCTGAAGTGAGTCATCCTGTTAAGCTCTTTCAATTTAGGCCCATTAGCTTGTGTAACTTCACGGTTAAGATTTTCACAAAGCTTCTTGATAATCAGTTGATACAAATTTTGAAACCCTTAATTTCTCCCAACCAATCTGCCTTCGTTCCTGAGAGAATGATTCAGGATAATTCTATTGTTGCACATGAGGCCTTTCATTTCCTAAAACAAAAGAAAAAAAAAAGAAGAGATGGTTTCATGGCTATCTAGCTGGATTTTAATAAAGCCTATGACTGTGTTGAGCGAGACTTTTTATTTGAGTTAATGCGTAAAATGGGCTTCTATCCGAAATGGATTCAATGGGTTTCGAAATGTGTCACCACTATCAATTTCTCAATCTTTGTCAATGGCAAAAAAATAGGTACTTTTAAACCATCTAAAGGGCTGCGTCAGGGAGATCCTCTTTCTCCGTGCCTCTTTATCTTAGTTGCGAATTTTATGTCAAATTTGGTCAATCAAAGCCTTCATGAAAGACATTTTGGGCCTCAAAATTACCAGGCATTGTCTTACTTTGTCTCATTTTCTGTTAGTAGAGTCATCTTGTTGAGTTCTTGTTGCTTGGCATCTAGTCAAATGGTAAATTTCGACTAAGTCTAGTGTGCAATTCTCTCCCAATGTCCCTCTCTTACTCGGAGGAAGCATTCGTTCTATTTTTGGATTTAGAGAAACTCCTGATGATGTGAAATATCTGGGGCCTTCCATCCTTTTGGGGGAGGTTAAAAGCAGAGGCATATGATTTCATCATTGACCAAGTGCTAGCCAAGTTACAAGGTTGGAAGTTGAAATTATTGTCACACGCGGGGCAAAAAATATTGATAAAAACTGTAAAACAAGCCATTCTAGCTTATGCGATGCCTTACTTTATTTTCCTGAAGAAATTTTGTGCGAAGTTAAACTCATTGATTAGCAAATTTTTGTGGGACAAGTAAAATTAAGTAGTTATTGTTCAATAATAAAAACTTTCAAAAAAGAAAAAGAAAAAAAAGAAAGTAAAATTCAACTTAATAGCAATATTATACATAGAACTAAATACAGAAACTGTTTAATTGGATGGTTAGTCGAACGATTGACGAATACCATAATAGTTGGAATTGACTAATCATCTAACTAAAATTTAAATTAATAGTAATACTATGCAAAGAAACTGTTTAACTGGACGACTGATCGAACGATTGAAAGATCTCATAACCGTTAGAATTAACCAATCGTCTGACTGATCATCCGGATACATAAATTTTCATGTTCAAATATATGCTCGATCTATGTGCAACTAGATTTTTTTTAACCTAATAATGTAAAATACACAAAAGGGCAAATTACATATACCCCTCGAGGTTTGGCTAAATTACAGATACCCCTGAGGTTTCGAAAATTACATCCCGCCCCCTGAGGTTTGTATTTTTATAATAATTTACCCCCTGAGATTTATATTTCATAACAAATTACCCTCTAATTTCTTATGCAAATATAACATTCAGGGAGGAATTCGTAATTTCTCAAACCTCAGGAGAGTATCTGTAATTTAGCCAAACCTCGAGGGGTATATGTAATTTGCCCTACACAAAAAGAAAGAAACGGAGAGAGTTCGCAGAACAGGTAGGAAGTATCTACGTTTGTTTTATGGCTTTATGTAGATTCATCATCCTCTTTAATTTCCCAGTCTCTCGTCCTCCATTGCAGGTCCTCTCTAACCCTACTCTATCCTCATCCCCAAATTACCCTCTCAAATCCAACAAATTCACGACCCTACCACTCCTCCGTCTCAATCATCTTTGTAATCGCTCAACTGCTTCGTATTTCTCGTCATCCTCATCCATGGAAGCCCCTCCCGAAGGTTACAGAAGAAACGTCGGCATTTGTATCATCAATCCTTCCAAAAAGGTCACAAATTCGTGCTATTCTCTCTCCAGAATTAGTTTCTCATTCTTTCTCTAAATGCTTGTGTTTGTGTTGTGAAGATTTTTGCTGCTTCGAGGCTCGATATACATGACTCCTGGCAAATGCCACAGGTAACCCTGAATTGAAAATGCTAATTGATGATCAGGGTCTGGTTTTCTTTTTCGATTTTTACATTGGAATTTTGTGTATATACATCCATATATATGGTTGAAGCAGTTTGATCTTAAAAGGTTTTTTCTTTTCTTTTTTTTTGGGTTTTAAAAAATGTGCAATTTTGGAAAGAAAAATTTGTGAGAAAGTTTCATGGTCTGGGCTGTGTGCTTACCTGATACTTGTGGCTTGTGGGTATTTGTAAGTATCCGGGTTTATCTTGGGTCCAAAGTGGCCTTGGCTTAATGGGTTTCTTTCTTTTTTATTGTTTTGATTGGTGAAATTCAGTGATTAGTTGTTAAATTAGCACGTGGTGGGTGTTGAACTTGCATCGTTCCCCTCCTAAGAGTGGAATCCAAACCTCCCTTTAGGAAAGACTTGGTGGCCAAAGGGCTAGCCTTGGCTTAAGGATTTTCTCATCATCAAATATATATATGTACAACAAGGTGTGCAGGTGTGCTTTTAAAAACTTAAAAAAGTTATAAAATTTGAAATCCACAGTTACCTAGGGACAATTTAAGAATGAGAAAAAAACATGATAAAGGTGTTCATACCAAATTGGTTGTACACTTTTTATAATAGTATAGATATATGTATTGCTTATAGCATTAAACATAGAATTCGGGAGTTCTAAAAATTAGGTTGCACTAGATTTTACAATAGGTCTGTGGTTTGATTTTTGCATTCCATATTCGTGTTCTAATCTACTAAATAATCAGTTTTTATTTTTTAATTTTTTTATCTGAACTCTAGGTGAGTGTATTTTATGTTGGCTTCAGAATTGGAAACAGTTGCAACAACTCTTTTGGGTTTTGGAACTTAGTAATGCTAGTGGGCCATTTTTATAACAATTTAGATTGACTAGATTGTTTTTATTTTATTTTTCTTCTCCGTTCATTTCTTTCGTAATTATCGTGGGTTTTGGAACTTTCTTGGTTGGTTGTTTTTGAACAGTTTAGATTGTTATCGTTACCCCCTCCCTCCATACTTTAGTGGCAGATTGTGATAGATTAGAGTGCACCATAGCTAACATTCTTGAATTCCCAAAGTTGTGATTATTTATGGAGGCTAGTCTCTCTCTCTCTCGGTATGTGTGTGTCAATATTTTAAAGCTTGAACAGCTGAAAAGCATTATGATATGTTTAATGGACAATTAGTGTGTAGTCCAGAGTTGTAGTTGTGATGTCAAAACTTGCATAAATTGTTAAAACTTCAATGCATCTAATAGAGTGCAATTGTGTTCTGATTTCTTATAATCTTATACGAGTATTCCTTACTTGGAAAGCTTGGTTTCCATGCATATGAGATGGAAAAATATTGTGTGGTGAACAGGGTGGTATTGATGAAAATGAAGATCCAAGAGATGCAGCTATCAGGGAATTAAGAGAAGAAACAGGAATTACTTCAGCTGAAGATCTTGCAGAGGTTTGGACTTGAGATTTGACTCCTTAAGCATTATAACTTTTTTGGCGTTGGTTTGTTAGTCTTTTGGACTTGAGATTTGACTCTTCTTGCATTTGTAGACATTTTCATATTTCGAATTCTTTTGTCATTTCTCTTATGATTTGAAAATGTTTCTTTTCCAAGCTAATTAAAACAATATACCGAAACAAAATTTTGATCCTTGATGCAGGTACCATATTGGTTGACATATGATTTCCCACCAAAAGTCCGGGAAAAACTTAACCGACAATGGGGCTCAGACTGGAAGGGTCAAGCACAAAAGTGGTGAGCATCTTTATACATTTGAAATAGGTGTAAAGCTGCATTCTTTTGGCAGGGGAAATGAACAAAATTTAGGATAATCAAGTGCAGATCAAATTAATTCATAATTAACATTGACCTATGTTAAATGGACTCAAGTATGCATGATGGGTGATGCGGCTCAGCAGGTATGTCTCTAAGTGTCTGATTTATCTAATTCGCACATCCAAGGCCATGGCGACACAGCAAAGTATTCAAATATTTTAATATACTTTTTTATTTTCTAGGATAAAATGGTGGTGTTCGCGAGGTGCACTAGAGAATTTCGTGCATAATGTAGGAGCTTTATTTATAATTTTATGGTGAGCTCAAATTACTAAATATACTTGTTTGATGAATTTCCAACTAAATATAGCGGACACATCCCTTACCCTCAGCCACTTTTTAAGTGCTTGACATGGTTACTTCATACATTTAGAACAGTCCATGGGTGACTAATGCTCCCAAGTATTCAACTTGTGACTTGCCCTTCAATGATGCATGGGTCTACTTCTTGCCTGGTTTGTGTCAAGGCCCTAGGTGAACAAGGCTATATCAACTAAATTAGTTTTTCCATTTTATTCCTCCAGTCAATTCGTCAAAACTATTTTATTCCAACTTACTGCCGGGGTGATTTTTACATTGCCTATCTAGAAACTAAACTAATGAAATTACGACCCAGGGCTCTTATTTCTGCTGAAGTTGGATTGAACCCTGACAGATTTCATTTAGACTCTTTTAGTAACTTTCAACTCGTTTGGGTAGTTACTTGATTCATGAACTTGCTTGCATTTCTTCTAAAGACAATTGTAATGAATGCCTGATTGGATTGCTAGAATGGGATAAGTCTCAATCTCTGATCATCTACATAACGGTCTAGAGCAAGAATGCACCTATTATGTTAGGCTACACTTTTACATTCCCGTATTCATTGTGTCTTTAACTCACACGTGCGCATATGATTCAAGCTTTGGATGTTCTAATTCATCAGGCCATCTGTAATCACTATATTTCATTAAAAATCAGTGTATAAATACAGGTTCCTATTTAAATTCACTGGAAAGGATGACGAAATCAACCTTTTGGGTGATGGGACTGAGAAGGCGGAGTTTGGAGCGTGGTCGTGGATGTCACCGGAACAAGTAGTTGACCATGTGGGTGCAATTCCTTAACCTCATTTTGCTATAATGGTTTGAAACTGGTTGTCTTGCCATTTCATTATTTTACATATTTTCTGCATTTTTCTGTGCAGGCAGTGGACTTCAAGAAGCCTGTTTACAGAGAAGTTTTGACAGCTTTTTCCCCGCATCGTCAATAAAATGATTTGTTCCGATTGAGATAACTTGAAAAAAGGCATGGCATGGGTATACAGTTGGGCGATTGGTGTACTCAAAGTCTTCACCCCAACCAATTAAGCAATTTTTTTTCTCTAATTTCTGCTGAAGTTGGATTGAACCCCGACAGATTTCATTTCGACTCTTTTAGTAACTTTCAACTCGTTTGGGTAGTTACTTGATTCATGAACTTGCTTGCATTTCTTCTAAAGACAATTGTAATGAATGCCTGATTGGATTGCTAGAATGGGACAATTGTAATGAATGACTAATGGATTACATAACGGTCTAGAGCAAGAATGCACCTATTATGTTAGGCTATGAAGCACGGACACGGACACGGACATGCATACGGACACAGACACGGACACGGGACATGGCAATTTTAAAAAAATGGGGACACGGACACGGCAAAATTTTTTTTATATGAATATTTTTATTTTAATACAAGTTAATTATTTTATTTAATTATTATATTTTTAAATAAATATGATTCTATTAATTTTTTATTTTATTTTATTTTATCTACTTTTTTTTTATTAATATATGTATATATATTATATAAAATATAAGATATAAGATATTTTTTTTTATTAATATTAAATAAATACATATATACATATATATATTATATACCTAATAGATATATTATACATGAATCAGATATATATATATATATATTATATACCTATAATAGATACATTAAACCTAATAGATACACGAATCGAATCAGATCAGAGGAGAGAGAGGGCGATCGACGCGATCAATGCGAGAGCGAGAGCAAGAGACGCGAGCCAGAAAGAAGGCGAGAGAGAGGGACGAGAGAGAGAGAGAGACTTACTGATGGAGATCGACAGGCGAGTCAAGATCGAGGTCATGGATGGAGGTCGATCGCGATCGTCTGGGGTGTTCGATCGACTGATGGAGCTTGGAGCTTCGATCTTCGACTGGATTCATGGAGCTTCGATCTTCGACAGGTTTGTCTCTCTTCACCCTCTTCCTTCACACTCTCTCCTTTGTCTCTTCCTACTTGCCGTGTCTCACGCCGTGTCCAGATCTGGACACGCATGTCCCCTATAAGAAAAATAATTAAATTAAAAGGACACGGCAGATGGCGTGTCCCGTACGTGTCCCCGTGTCCGACACCGCCACGGCGCTGATTTTGCTGTGTCTATGCTTCATAGATGTTAGGCTACACTTTTTACATTCCCGTATACATTGTGTCTTTAACTCACACTTGCGCATATGATTCAAGCTTTGGATGTTCTAATTCATCATGCCATCTGTAATCACTATATTTGATTAAAAATCAGTGTATAAATGCAGGTTCCTATTTAAATTCACTGGAAAGGATGACGAAATCAACCTTTTGGGTGATGGGACTGAGAAGGCGGAGTTTGGAGCTTGGTCGTGGATGTCATCGGAACAAGTAGTTGACCATGTGGGTGCAATTCCTTAACCTCATTTTGCTATAATGGTTTGAAACTGGTTGTCTTGCCATTTCATTATTTTACATATTTTCTGCATTTTTCTGTGCAGGCAGTGGACTTCAAGAAGCCTGTTTACAGAGAAGTTTTGACAGCTTTTTCCCCGCATCGTCAATAAAATGATTTGTTCCGATTGAGATAACTTGAAAAAAGGCATGGCATGGGTATACAGTTGGGCGATTGGTGTACTCAAAGTCTTCACCCCAACCAATTAAGCAATTTTTTTTCTGTCTTTTTCTTTTTTTAAAGATGTTTCCACAGTAATGGTAGTTTTGATGTGGTTCCGACAAAAAGATTTTTTTTTTTTTTTTTTCAATGAGATGGCATGAAATCAAGATATTGTAGCTTATTGGGGAGTCTCAATTCTGCTGAAATGAATGTTTTAATCATTTTTATGACTCAAGCAGGGCATTTGTTCCTTGCTTTTGTGTGTGATAGAGACGATTTTTCCAAGCAACGTAAGCGGTGGATTTTAGGTACTATAACCAAATCGACCTTCCATTAGATTCAGATAAAGAGAAAATTCAGCCATTGATTGATAATGTGTAAAATTAGATAAAAAAACTGATGCTTTTCTCAAAACAAGAGGTGATTTTTGCAGTGCTACTGATTACTGAAATTGAATGTTATTCACCATTGTAATCAAATTTTACTGCAGAATGTTATCCTACTCTACATTGAAAACAATAAAAAAAAAAAATCTACTTGCCAATAAAATTGATCTTTACATACAGCATATTGTGATCCAATTTACCATGTTTTTCGAGTATGATATTCAAAAGCAGCTTTGGATACCATCATCAGTCCCTTGAGAGGATGAAATCCAGTCTTCTTCAAGATTACAACCTAATGCAAATCATGATGAGTTCTTTCCACAAAAAGATTTTGATAATTTTGATCTTGACTCAAATATTTAAAACCTCAATCTTAATTTCTGTAAAATATCCCGTAAATTCCAACTTGCATTGCTTCTTCAAAACATTAGTTGTTCTACAATTTAAAATACATATGAACAAAACATCCATGCATTTCCAAAATCCCATTAGCATCTTTCCCTTACAATCTTCCATGAAGTTGCAAGAAAGCTATTAACAAGATAGAAGTTCAATCACTGAACAAATCAAGTTCGAGCAACACGAGTGATATTGGCCATAAAATCCCAGTAATGGACATAAGTCAAGTCAATATCTCAAGCCGTTTTGTTAAGTATATGATGTATACGATCAGTAACAATCTCAGCAACAATCTCAGGAGAGAATCTACTGATCATGTCTTCCCTCGCTCTCCTTCCTCTAGCCTTAGCTTCTTCACGATCACCCATCACATGCCTTATCAGAACTTGAAGCTTATCAACAGAAGGCTCAGCCCATTTATGGCCTCTGAATGGTCCTTCAGATACTTCACTCAGAACATCCACTGACAAGGGATAGCTATTTTCCTCCGTTATGTACTCAGTGGGACCAGACCAATTCGTTGTGATCACTGGCAACGACATTGCCATGGCCTCCACAATAGGCCGGCCCCATCCTTCCCCTCTTGATGGAAGAACAAATGCATCAGCTGCGTTGTATAGTCTTGGTAGATCAACGTGAGGTATGTGGGCATCAATCACGTAAATCGGAGCCCACCCATCAACCGGTTTTACTAAATCTGAACCCTCAACAAACTCCACAATCTTGTTGCCAAAATCTCAACCGGAGTGATATGGATTCGTTAACAAATACAAAGCAACCCCATCGACATTAGAGAATTCTTTTAAGTATGCCTGCAACAACACATCCCAACCCTTCCTATATTCCCACTTGAAAATGCTCAAGAAAACAAACTTGTTATCGGGATTTGAATTCAATGGAGTTGAGCCCAAAACTATAGTCCCTATAGAGGCAAGGTCTAATGGCTTATACTTGACAGGATCAAAGAAATTCGCATCAACAGGTTGAACAATTTTCACAACCTTCGACGAATCAACCCCACTTTGTATGAATGTAGACACATGGAATTCAGTAGGAACCCATACAGAATCCATTTGATTACACCGCCTTACGTGCTCAGGATTCAACCTATCAGTCTCAAACATAGTCCTACCAATTATGAATCTGTAATTTTCATAACCAGTTGGTGGGCATGGGAGTGTCTGAAACAGAGGAGGGTACCAAGCACCAGGCTCACTATGACATATCACAATGGTATTATCATCCATTTCACATTCTGTTTGGTAAAGCTCAAGAGCCAATTTTTTCATCTCCTGAGGCAAACCCTCCCAAAACTCAAGAATTTCAAGATCACCATGTTGATGAATACTCATTCTAAAGCTAGGGTTTTTCTTGTTTTCATGTAAAGCTAAGATATAAGACCAAGCTTCTGAGCTATACCCACCACCTGAAAGAAAAGGGGCCATCCATAGCACACAATAAGGCGGTTTGGAAATAGGGTTTGGTTGTGGGTTTTGTTTGGTTGTTGGGTTTGAGTGAAGAAACCCTAGAAGCTTATGAAAATGGGAAGACTCTGGTGAGAGAGTTGCATTCAGAAATTGAATTTTGTAGTAGTCTGTGTAGGTGAAACTGAATAAGATTGCTAGAAGTAGAACTAGTATTGACAATAAATAGAAGCAACTGAATTTGAAGAACAAGGGGCGAGTTTGAGTGGGTTGTGGTGAGTGATGGGGTTCTTGATTTTCTTGGGAATCCATAAGAATGGGGGAGTAAAGAAATTACAGATTCAATACAGAAAGAGAAAATCACCCATAAAGAAGCATCTAAAAGAAGGAAAATTCTAACAATTTGGCAAGTAAAGAGTAGAGTATGAGAGAGGGAGAGAGTACCAAAACCTGGGACTTTGTAGCTGGAGGACAGGGACAAGCCGAAACCCTTGGATCTAAACCGTAGACCTGCGCTAAGGAAATATATTTCGGTGTTGTTTGGTTTAACTCAAAATATAATTTTTGAAAAAAAATTCAAAATTTTATTTGGTCAAAAATTTTAAAGAAAAGAAAAATTAAATTCACTTTCTCTCTTTTACACATTAATCAATCATTTTTTTTTTCTCTCCTCTCTCTTTCTCAATAATTTTTTTTTTACACACATTTACTCAATTATAACAAAATATCAAATCTTTCCAAACTCCCATACTCCAAAACTATTTCCAAAATATATAATTAAACAAACCAAAAAAAATTCTAAACTCTTTTTTCAAGATTTTTTAAAAAATTTATTTCCCAAAACCAAATCAAACACAACACACCCTTTATTTTTATTTCATCTCTCTCAAAATATTAGCCCCATTTAAAAAACTTATTTTTTAATATAATTATTATACTTTAAAATATTAGTATATTCTCAAAATTACTCCGTGACTTGTTTTTAAAAATATTAATTATCATAATTGATAAATTTAAAAGAAGAATAAAATAAAAAATTCATATTATTTTAATCCATAAAAAATATTTTTTTTAAGTAAATTATAGATACATATACATATATATATCGGATATTTGTTTATAATACCAATTTAGTTCTCGGAATTATATACTTTCATTTTAAAGTTTCTAATTGTATAACAAATAACTTTATTTATTAACCAATCAACTTTTTATAATGATCTCATAAATATATTTTAATTAATAATTGACATAATTTTATTATTGTAGAGAAAAATAGTTAAAAATTTTATTTTTCTAGTAATTCTATTAAATAAAAAATTCTAACAATGAGTATTTATAATTTTAAAAATCACAAAAAATAATCCATATTTTAAATAAATTTCAAAAAGGATAATTACAATTTACTTTTTTTTTTAATAAATAAATTATACAAAACCCTAAGGTGCCGTTTGGTAACACTTACGTTTTTAGTTTTCAGTTTATATTTATAAAAATTTAAAAAACTCAAATAAAAACTTGTTTGATAAATTTTTGATTTATAAATCAATGATCTCAGTTTATAAATTTGGCAAAAAAATGTAAACTCAAAAAATGAGTTTACGTTTTGAGTTTTGAGTTTCGAGTTTTTTTTTTTTACCACCCAACACTAGCCACCACTCGCCACCATTTTCCACCACTGTCTTCCGCCGCCGCCACCACCACCACCACCACCGCCACCACCATCACTCACTACCCACCTGCCACCACCAGAAATGACATATTTACTTCTTAGTCTTTATACATATAAAATAATATAGATATTTTGTTCATGTCATTTGAAGGAAAAAAAACAATCATCTTCCTTAGTTTAACTCACACAAAAAATTGAGTTTTTTATTTTTTTTATTTTTTATGTTTTTATAAAAAATATTTTTACTGAATTTTTTTAATATTTTAAACAAATTTTTTTATTTTTTCTATACATCTAATTTAGATATACTTAAGAAGTATAATATTTTGTGATTTTTGTTTTTAAATTCACCGAATACAAAAAAATACAAAAAAAAATACAAAATTCAATACATTATCTTATTTTGTTGTATTCAATGGAATTTTTTAAATTTTTTTGTACAAATTTTATACTTTTTAAATATATGTAGATTAAATTAATCTAATCTAGATATAATGGTAGAAATAAAAGTAAAAAACTATATTTATATATAAAAATTTATATAAAAAATATCATAAAAATATTATAATAGTGATATTGTTTTACATATAAATTATGTTTATGAGTGTTTTGTTTTAGAGTATTGTTAGAGACCCCAAGCATTTTATCAATTTTTTTAGGGTGATTCTACTTGCACCACTATTTAATATCATTATACTGTCCATCTCATTATACCACTAAAAAAAATGTAATTCTCATTACACCCCCAATACATTACCAAAACTAACTCTAAATTAACTATTTCATCTCTTTACACCACTAATTTTAGTAATACGGTACTAAACAATTTACATTATTCCGGTATTATACTGCCAGAAAAAATAGATCTCTCTAGCATTTTGTTGCTATACATTTACAAAGATACTTTCTTCCAAACAATGATTTTTTAATTGTGGTAGGCCTGTTCAGTAATACAACGCTAATTAATTTGTATTACTTTACTATTATGTTACCGGACAATATTTTTTTCCCTAACATTATGTTGCCGTCCAATTAAATGATAACAAGAAATTAATTTGGGCCACTTGTGATGTACATGTTCAATGATACATTGTTATACAAATGAGATTATTCTAATGTTATGTTACTAAACTACAATAGAGTTGTCTATGCCCCTGTCGCTATACATTTAAAAAAAATTTCTTTTTCCTTGAAGCATTCATAAAAAAATTCATAAATCAAACACGCATCCATAAAATCATACATAAAAAGTATTCATAAAATTATTCATAAAAACATAAAATGTACAAATATTCATAAAGTATTCATAAAATCTGTCATTGTTTGCATCCATCAATCAAACATATTATCAAAA